TGTGTGTGTGTGTGTGTGTGTGTGTGTGTGTGTGTGTGTGTGTGTGTAAAGGCTAGAATTTAAAAGTTTGGAAGACAACACTGGCATCTGACCAAAGATTCAGTATCACTTAACTGAGTCAGTTACTAAAAATGATAGATGTAAACCATTATTGGAAATGAACAAATAATTTTTATCGAAAAGAGAAGGGAAGGAGGAACGTCTAAATTCTGAGACAAAGTAGAGTTTTAAAGTGGTGTCTTGATTCAAAGATACATTCTACCTTTGAGGGTTGAGGTAGAGAAATGCTAAGGATCCATTCTTGTGGATACTGTCTTCCATAATCTATTACAGAATCATTAAGAGTAGTCCCTTAAGGTAAATTTAGCTGTACTTTTGTATGTATATTTTGTATGTAAAAAAAAAAAGAGTATTTATTTCTGAACCAGAAAGCAGTGAGAGACAAGTAAGACCTAAATGCTCTGAAAATTATCCTTTAGCTAATTTTTAGGTCCGTCTGGCAGTTCTTGTTGCTTTGACCGAAATGTTCAATCCTCATTCTTCTCTCTTTGTTTCTCATACATATTTGCATAAGTACATACATTTAAGTACTCATAGCTTTACATTTTGAGGGGGAAATTTGAATATAGTGTTGAAAACTCTATTGAAAAATACAAAGTGAATATTTTAATAATTCAGTTCACCAAGAACTTATGGTTAAGCTTAGAATCTCTTCTCAAATCTTGACTGACCACTCAAGAGCATTTATTGGTCATAAAGAAAATTGACCTTGTTTCAAAATAGCCTCATTTATGAAAATAATACTTTGAAAGCCTAATATTTTTTAGGGATCTTTGTGTGAGATATAAAAACCTGTTTTTGTTCTATTGAATTGGACTTCAAATGCTAACCAAAAACAAATACTTCAGATGTAAACTATAAAGACTTTAGAAAAAAAACAAGTTTGTGTTTAAATATTGAAACACATATTCCACCTTACTAGCATGGTTGGGGACTACAGGTTCACATTGTGGGTTATTCTCAGATTTCTTGTGTTTTCTTTGTTATTGTAATGAGTTAAATTGGAGGTAGACAGAGTGGGTCAAGGGGCATTCTTTATATCTTTTTAGCCTCCTTTTCTACCCCTGCCTTTTTTTCAGTGGGCTTTTATTTGCAAACCTTTCTGTGACTGAAAATGTTGAGTTTACTGTGGAAAAAAAGTTTTTCCACTCAAGTGACTAAACACTATTCATCACTACATAGACCTGAACTTTCTCCACGAGTGAGATAGAATTTAGGGAGATCTCAGTGTAGATCTTACCTCATTATTGCAAGATCTTGCTTTGGGGCTAGGTTTACCCCCTTTATTTCCATTTGGAGATTTAATAAACACTTAAATCATTTCAACAAACAGTTTAACAAGAAAAAGCAAACTTTCCACCTATCTCCCACCCCATTTCCACATTCATATTCTAAGCCCATGGATCTCTTCAAATTCTGCCCCCCCTTTCCTACACACACACACAGAGACAGACACACACACACACACACACACACGCACACATTCACATACATTCATATCCCTCACATTCTTTTGAAGGCCAATTATGTTCACAAGAAAATATTATTCTTTTGACTAGTAGATACAGAAATGCTCCCAGAGTGACCTTGCAGCCATTGCTATTTTAAAGTCTTGAAGAGCATCACTTAAAATGTCTGGTTATTCTTGCCTAAAAAGCTACATCAGCAGAATCCCATTCAGAGCAGTATTTCATAAACTAAATTTAATTATAGGCAAGGGTATTTACTTTTCTCAGGCCCTTTCATATTCCAAAGCATTTGCAATGACCTAAGCAAATACCCTAGTAGTCAGGGTTTTTAAGTAGGGAAAGAGAACAGAAGGAACATTTTCCAGACTCTTATCTGTAGTCAACTACAAAATGATATCAGATCTAAAAGGTAGTGTTGGGTATTGTGGTTGAGTGGGGAGGGTGACAGATAAGAGTAAGATACCTATGGATTTTATGGAGAATGTAATCATGTCAGCACAGATACCTTTAGAAATGAGGTACTTGGGAGGGAACATTGGCCAAGACTGCAGGGGAATGTCTGTAATTCTTCAGAAAGTAAAGTGGACCTCAGAGATAACCAGAGAAGTTGTCATTCATCTCAATTGCCTTGATTATCACTTTTCATTCAAAAAGCACTTATAGATTGTCCACTAGATGCCAGGCACTGTGCTAAGTGCTGAGGATGCAGAGACAAAAATTAAATGGCCCCTGCCCTCAAGGAGTTTACATTCTGTTAAGAGAAAGGATAAATGAATACACATATAAGGGAATACCAAATAAATGAAAAATCAAAACAAAGTCTTCTTCATATTTCACTTTGTTTCTTGTCTTCAAGGCATTAGAGTAAGAACTTTACAAATTGGCACTAATTGAGGGGAAGAATTATCTGAATTAGTGAAAAATCTGAATCATGATATATTTTTAAATGCTTGTGGCAACATGTACTATTACCAAAGCTTTTCATATAGATCCTTTTGAGACATTAAGCAGAAGAGATTTCTGGGGTATTGTAGAAAAGGTCTGGGACAGTTAGGGGTGTAGCATGGAGAGGAATAATTAAATCTAGAAATAAATAATAAATATATTTCAATATCTTATGTTGAGTTACTATTTTATGGAGATTCACCATGGAATAGTGGATAGAGAGCTGGCCTGGATGCCAAGAAGACTTAATTTGGAGTCCCTCTGCTGAAGCATATTGTCTTTGTGATTCTAGGGCAAAGGCTCTTAATCTTTCATGGATCTAGGCCAGTGGTATTAAATCCACATAGAAACTGAGGCCAATAAACAATATAGAAGGATCCCTTTTAGTATATATTGCATTTATATTCATATTTGTATTTATATTTAGTATATGTTTAGTATATATATTGACTTAGAAAACCACATGGAGATATGACCTATGTTTTATTATATTTTTATTTATTTTGTTAAATACTTCCTAGCTATATTTTAATCAGGTTCAGTTACACTCTGGAGTGTTGTGGGGCCACACCTCTGTTCTAAGCAAGTCTTTAAGATTTTAAGTTACAGGGAAGGTAGCTGTTTTTCTTCTGTTTTTATTTTTTATTTTATCTTTTATAATTTTATTTATTTTATTCTGAACTTAAGAAATAAAACAAGCATTTCCATAACATAGTAGAATGGGGGAGGGGAAGAAGATGATTGTACATGAAACTGCAAATCTGTTATGTTCAACTTGCTATTCCTTTTAAATATATAATAAGGTTATCATGTAACCTTTTTTTCTCCCTTCCTTCTCCCCTAGACATGGCTAATGACTCAAATATGTATAATACATACTTCTGTTTGTCAGTTCTTTCTCTAGATACAGATAGCATCTTCTTTCATAGGTCCTTTGTAGTTTATAAAAGTCAAAATGACTTAGTCACTCAAAGCTTGTTCTTAAAACAATATCGTTACTGAATACAACATTTTCTTGTTTCTGTTCATTTCACTCTTCATTATTTTGTGCAAGTCTATGTATGTTTTTAGTAAGGGGAGGTTTCCTTGCCTAGACAATAAAATCACAGATCTAGTCCCTATCCCCTGTAATCTTATTTAAATATATCCTCTATAATTTTCAAGTCAAATCATTTACAAGCATTTATTAAGCTCTTACTAGGTTCCAGGCACGATGCTAAACACTGGTGATAAAAATACAAACAGCATGAGAGTTCCTACCCTAAAGGAGCTTACATTCCGGTGGGGAAAGATGTTACATTAGAGGAAGCTGAGAGGTGTGTGGCCAGGTACCAGGGGTATTGGGAGGCAAATTGTAGAGAACTGAAGAGAAATCTGGGAGGGTCAGGAGTATAGACATAGCAGGCATTGGTTGGCCCTTCTTAGAATGGAAGTTCTTGGAGGAAACAGCCAATTGGAAGGAGAGGCCACAGGGGTGGAGTGTAGTTCCAATGTGTGAAGTATAGGGTAGAATGAACTTCCAGGGTGAAGAGATTTCTGGGGCATTTTAGAAAAAGTCTAGGACAGTTAGAGGTGTAGCATGGAGAGGAATAATTAAATCCATCCCTAATAATCTTATTTAAACAATTTATTTAGAACAACAATTGACACTTTGCATTTTCTATATGTACAGATGTATGCAAATAAGGCAGATTTTTACCCAAGTAAAATGATCACAAATTCCATATTGGTTTAGTTTGAATTAATGACATGACTGGTTTTGGCATACAACAAATATTTCCAAAGATTATTTCAGATCTGTGAGAGCTCTTAATAAATATTTGATCACTGACTGATACTTAGATATTTTGGTTAGTAGGTCTTTTGATTCTCTTCCAGAGGTTCACAGGGCAGTTAAAAACCAATTACCTATTTTGCAAAACTCTACAAAAATGAATTGGATTTTGGGGAGCAGGGAGTGGAGATCTATTTCTATTTTGCCTTAGACCTCTGAAAGCTGTGTCTCCTACGTATGAAAACTGTCTGGCAGCAAGTAAATAGCTTACTTAAGTCTTAAAATATATATTCATCATAGAGAAATGGTTAGTAAATGACTCAGTGACCCCCACCCCTTGTCAAGTAAACCATAGCAAGTGGTTCTTCCATGATCAGCAAATAACATTTCTTTAAGAAGACGGATAAATGGATGATAGATGATAGATAGATAGATAGATGATAGATAGATAGATAGAATATGATACAATACAATATGATATGATAGATAGATAGGTACTTATATAGATGTTTGTATGTTTGTATGTCTGTATATAATGGTAATTCTAAAAGCAGACATCTGAACCTTAAGTCACCACTTGAAGGGCCTCTTTGGGATTAAGTAAGAAGTGTTGATTATTTGATCTGGTACCCTTTTATAGAAAAATGGACTTTGATTAGGGGGAAAGAGAGTTCTCTGATCCTTCTAAGAACAATCAGGCCTTCTTTTTCTCCACTTAAAAATCAATAACATGCCAAATGACTTTTGGAAGAGATTATATATTAGGAACCTCTGAAGCACAATGAGCTTTGAAAATAGAGTCACTTAGGAGAGAAAACACCAGCTCTGGTTGTCTGTGATCCATGTTTCAGAAAAAGCCATTGCTCAGTTAATGACTTCTCTTTGTTGGTAAAAGGAAAAGTAGAGAAAATATGCCATTTTTTCCCAAACCATCATTCCCCAAACTGAAAGCAGGATTTTTTCTTAGCAAAAATTATTTCAACAGGTAAGCTCTGTAGAACAAATAACTTCATTCTTTATGGAAAATGGAATGGAGAAAACTTTCTGAGGAAGAAGATTTCCATACTATTCAGGTTGTGAAGAATAGACTTTCAGGTACATAGTCACTTGGTTTGTTGTTGATCACAGAAATTCACCTATTTTTCTATGACCTCAGAATCTGTCAGAATACTGGAAGGCACATGAAGGTTGCCTTACCTCCTTAGGTTCACTGAAAGGATCTGGTATGGCTTTTTGAAGACCAAAGTAGAGCATCAGCTAGTTTATTGTGGGAGTCTGATGGGGTGGGAAATGGAGAATGGTGGCCCGAAGTTACAGTCAAGCTTGATTAGATGGCTTTGTTACAAATGCATACTAGTAATTGACTCTTTTAGACCCTTGAAAATCTTCCTAGATACTGTTGCTCAACCTTCTTCTGACATTTGCCATTGTAGGTAGGGCAGAAAAATCCATTGGGATGCTATGTGCTAGACACTCGAGCTAGGAAATCATAGAGATGTGCTGGTACTGGAATTAAACTAAAAACGTCATTGGGCACTCAGAACACTATGATTAATGGCTCAATCTCCAGTTGTTTTATATCCATCAGATGAGTTCTACAACCACTGCATATCTAAGAAGAGAAAATTTTAAAAAAATGTTTTTCCAAGTTAAAGGCCCTAGAATAAATTCAGCAAGTATTTAATAAATGCTAGCAATGTTCCAGATTCTGTGCTTGGTGCCTGAAATACAAAGACAAAAACAAAACAGTCCCTCACCTCAAGTAGCTTATATTCTTTTGGGCAGAGAAATTTAACTTCCATGTAATTTTTTGGAAATCATCCAATTGGGTACTTTTGTATGTAGATACACATCAATATTTAAATTTTTTTTGATCTCCAAATTCTTTATCATGCACATTAACTCAAAATGTTATTAGCCAAGTTTTTAGTTCAAGTTTGCTGTGTGTAAGAAAGTCCTAGAAAAAAAGCCATAGACTTTTTCTAAAGGATTGGTGGTCTGAGGCTTTTAATTTATTCTAGGCTGATTCCTTTGCCCATTCTCTATAGGAATATTAAATCATTTCATGCATGTTCTCTTCCTATCCCTTACATTTCTGAGTCTCGCCACCAGTTGAGTGGTAATTAGAATAATGAATTGAGGGGTTTCATTTTTTCCTCCCTTTTACTCTTACCTTACCCTATCCTACTTCCTATCCCCTATGCCTACTGTTTGGCTAGACAGAGGTGATTGGATGTCTCTTCTCATTCTTCTCTTGTCCTGAAAATCCTGTATAAAAATACCCCTTCTACCTTTTCTAATAAGCTCTGTGACTCAAATAAAATTATTCAGTAGCTCTTCTGAAGCACCTCACACACTTGATTAAAAGCCCAAATATGCTTCAGTGGATTTTTTTTCCCTGCTTGAACAGCATCTGCCAATTTCCCTGGTTCTCTGCTAATTACTTTCAGTATGAGCCAGAATTCATTCAATAGGAGGTGCTTGAATAAGACTGAGTACTGGCTAAGGCAACATTGGACATAGACTTAGAGGATGCTGCTAAGAGCTTTTGCCTGAGTGATATCTAATGTTCAATCTGTGTTCTTTTTACTTAGGAAAAGAGTATATTTTATATTTGGAACAGAACAGTGGAAGTCAAAACCATTGAGTTCTCCTCTTGCCTCTATGACTGAGTCCATATATATAGAATACAAAAATTACAGTTGTGCTACCATGTCACTTGCTTTTTCAAAAAAAAAACCACCTCAGTTTGCCCTTCTGTAAAGTGGGTCTGATTTTTAAGGTGCTGGGAACCTTAATTCTTTTGATTGCTGTCAAAGGGAAAAGTAGTTTAATGTCTCAACCTCCATTATTCAGTCTTTAGAATCATCCTTATTCTTTTCAGCACTCTTGATCTTATCATGTACTTAGAAAGTCTTATTCAGAAGCTTAGTCATTTCTGAGGAAATAAAGTAGTAGCTATATAAACAGTGGATCTATCCATATGAAAGTAAAGGGTTTTATGATTTTTTGAATTTAGTATGATAAAAGATGTTATAGGTAGAGGAAAGTGAAAATGTTAATATCCCACATGGACCATTCACTAAGAGGATTCATCTTGGCTAGTGATATCTCCAAAACTGGAAGCCTAGAAGTTATACTCTTTCAAGTGCCTGCCATTTTGGGTTAAGTATTTTGGCACAGGTATGGATTTTGAGCAAAATACATTTGAAGAGACCTTTACTAATCCTTTAAAACATGTATTGGATTTGGATTGGATTACTAAGCCTTTAAAACATGTATCAGATATTGAATGATTGTCTTATAAAGATATCTCTCAAAGTCTGGGTGGGAGTGATGAGCTAGAGACAGGAAGAATATATTACTTCATAAATATCAAGTAACCAAACACAAAATCCAATTTAGGGGAATGAATGAGAATTTCAGTAGATTATAATAAGATGAGGATGCTTACTCAGGCCCATTGGTTTGATAAAAATTTTAAGTCCTCTGACTCTTTATGTCCCAGTTTCTAAATCCAAATTTCTTAATAAAGAAAAAGAGAGGAACAATATAAAAATGTTTAGAGGTAATCTCATTTATATATATGCTCATTTGCTCAAGTTTTTATAGGTGGGATCTGACATGCTGGTAATTGGTTACAGATATATGCTATACCAAGTTTCAATAATATACCAAAAATACAAAGAACAGGAATAAAATTTATATTTTTTTTGTTCCAGGTTCTCTGGGAGATGCTAACAAGGGAGGTCCCCTTTAAAGGTTTGGAAGGATTACAAGTAGCTTGGCTTGTAGTGGAAAAAAACGAGGTAAGACTACGTTTCTACATTCAGGTACATAGATCAGAAAACAGTATTGGGGTTTTGCAAAAGACTTTTTCATCTTCTTCAAATTGAAAGTAAGTTCACGCTTATGGAAAGATTAGCAGTAGGAGCTAACACAAAGGGTCAAAGTGATGTTATTCCTCATGAATGGACCCTTTACATCTAATTGTTGCAGCTTCACGTCGTGATGCTGTAGATCAAAAATTGTACTAGTACTGTACTAGTTTCTCAGTCTCAATTGTAAAACCTAGGGGTTTGTTCTTAGTGATGAAAGAAGCCATTGCGTCCAAGGTAGGGGAACAGTTTAACTCCATCTCCTGCGTTTAGGACATCTTTTTACTGGCCGGGAGTTGATCTATCTGTAAGAGACCTTCAGCTACTTCAACTTAACTCTCCCAGCAGGAGTCACTATAGTACAAGAAACTGTCGCTTAGATGAGAATTTCAAAATAAAAGAAGAAAAAATAGTTTCAAAAAAGGGGAAAAATTACAGTTTTGCCACCTACGTTCACCACGACATTGAAGATGAGCTCCTCACTGGAATTGGCGAGGCAGTGGCATAACTGTTCCCTTCTTCACGCAGAGCCTTTCCATTTCAAAAGGACTTCAGTGGCGTAAACACCGTTTGTGCTGTGTCCCCAGCCTCGCTTTTCTTCTTTCCACAAATTGAGGCTTTCAGTTAGTTGGACCTATGAGCCTACATCAGAGAACATGGCACATTCATATCAAAGAGAGCAACTACATTTTGAAAAGGTTTAAAATTGTGACTGAAACGTACAGCCATGGAAATTCTCAGCTTAAGGATGAAGCATTCAATATCGAGGTATTATGGGAACGTAGATAACCTTATGGAAGCATGCCATTGTCTTTGCTATACAATATAGCTTTATTTCATATAGCTTCATGATTTTCAAATCTTCTCTAACCAGTTCCCAGAAGTGGCTAAGGCAACTATAGAGTAAATTAACAAATAGTCAAAAAAAGAAAAAGATTTGGGATTAGCACAATTTAGACTTTTAAAAACATGCTTTAAATGTATTAGATTGCTTTTTATCTCCATGTACTCACAGGAAGAAGTTAGAGGAAACCAAAAAAGTACTGTTGACTAGTAGTAACCAAGTTTCTAACTTTTCAAACACTTAATACAGGATAACCTTGCAAATTTGTCCTTCAGACTCATTTTGGATAGCTGAAGTTTTCTGGTTAGCTAATTAAATGGGGGAAAACATATTTACTGATCATAAGGGGGGGAACCTTAAAATAAAATTGTGGTTGAGAACATGCCTTTATTATTGTTTAATAAGGATTTTTCAGCTTTAATTAATCATGATGTTATTTCCTGGTGTACCATTAGGTAAGTGGTCACACATTCACAAAAGAACTGACTTCTTACGCATATGAGATCTGAGGAGCTTGACAGTTGGATTTTTGCTAGTGAGGTGGCTAGATGTTTGGTACTGGCCTTACAAATGAAAGTGAAGAAAATGACTGATGTTCAAAATGAAACATCTTCTTGTTAACTTTTCTTGCAATAAATCTGAGAAAAGATACTTCCAAGGATAAATGTATTCCCCAAATATGTGCAGTACCAGAGAATGCTTGAAATAGGAAAACAATATTCCACAAGGTACAATTGTGGATCCGAAGCTTAGTCAAGACAATGGAGTAGTTGTGACAGATGTGAAAGAGAATTTGAAAGCTGGCTTTGGAGAATTAGCTTTAGGATTTGGGGATGACCATTTTTTAAAGCTCTTCTTACCTCTCAAACTTTGTAACAGAACTATGGGCTGGTCATGCAACTATTTTATTAAGTAGAAAATTCCTTTATGTCTTCAAGGCCGATTTCTCACTCATGCATGAGCCATTGTTTACAAAGGTAGTGGTGTGTTCCAGTTGGTTTATGGGAAATGTGACCTGTAAGATTATGAGACAAAGCACCTGATACTCTATGTTAATTAAATAAATGTATGTCAATCAAAGAAGGAATATTATTAAAATATCTTAACAAGACGGAAGAAAATTGTTCTATATGAAGATGTTTGTTTTCCTCTCTTTTTACATGATTAACTTACCAAAACTATAGAATTCAAATTTTCAATAATTTCCATTATCATCTTTCAAAAGGAGAATAAAGATCTCATTAGAATACTAGCGGCAATCATTCTAGTACATTAAGTTTTCCTGTTGGCATATTGCGAGGCCTTCAGAAGAGATGATTTTATTTCCTGTTGAAATTGAGATGCTACACCAGCACTTCTTAACCTGGGATCCATGAAGTTTAAAAAAAAAATGATAACTGCATTTCAATATAATTGGTTTCCTTTGTAATCTTACTTTATGTAATTAAAAACTTTAGTAATCTGAGAAAAGAACACCATAGCCTCCACTAGACTGCCAAAGGGTCCATGATACAAGAAAGGGTAAAAGCCCCTTTCTACATTAAAGAAAATAAAATTCATGGAGTTCCCTGAAATCCTAAAAAGATTCTACATGAAAAACCTACTGAACTAGTGGGTATCAGAAATGAATCCAAAGCAATGCTGAATTAGCACTAAATTCTTTAAAAGGCCTAGCAGCCAGGAAATTGAATGGGCATTACTAAGAAGTTCAAGTTTGTAACAAATTTGGAAATCCACTCTAGTCGTTGTAATGAGACTGAACCAACGACTCATTCAGAATGTTATGACAGCACAATTCCTGCTTTATAAATATTTAGCTTCTTGCTTACTTTGACATATGTTTAACCCAAACAGCAGAATTACCATCCACATTTAAGATAGCTGTTGTAAAACTTAGTCAATTGCTTTGGGATATATTTTAGAAAAAAAATTTAAGCAAATTTTGCAATGGTATATATCTTTAGAAACTCCTTCTGAAAAAGGAATATAGTTTTGGGGAAAATCCATTTCTAAACAAATGTTTTAAAATATATTTTAACTAATAATCTGCATATATTTTAATTTGTTATAAATATTAAAGTTTTTTATGTAGTATTTTATTTTTCCACAGTTATGTGTAAAAACAACTTTTAACATTCTTTTTTTTTAAACTTTGAGTTGCAAATTCTCTCCCTTCCTCCCTCCACACCCCTCCCCCATTGAGAAGGCAAGCAATTTGATATAGGTTATACATGTGTAGTCATGCAAAACATTTCAATATTAGATACGCTGTGAAAGAAAACACAGAGCAAAAAAAAAGAAAAGGAAAAAGAAAAGAAAAAACCTCAAGAAAAATAAAGTTAAAAAAAAAGTATACTTTATTCCATATTCAGATACCATCAGTTCTCTCTCTGGGGATGGATAGCATTTTTTCATTATAAGTGCTTCAGAGTTGTCTTATATCACTGTATTACTGAGAATAGCTAAGTCATTCGCAGCTGATCATCTTGCAATATTGCCATTACTTTGTACACAGTACCTTTCACTTTGCATCAGCTCATGTAAGTCTTTCCAGGTTTTTCTGAGAGCATCCTACTCATCATTTCTTATAGTACAATAGTATTCTATTATAATCACATACCACAATTTGTTCAACCATTCCCCAATTGATAGGTATCACCTCAATTTCCAATTCTTTGCCGCCAAAAAGAGTTGCTATAAATATTTTTGTACATGTAGGTTCTTTTCCTTTTTTAAAAATCTCTTTTGGGATACAGACATAGTAATGGTATTGCTAGGTCAAAGGGCATGTATGGTTTTATAGCCCTTTGGGCATAGTTCCAAATTACTCTACAGAATGGTTGAATCAGTTCACAACTCCACCAACAGTGCATTAATGTCTCATTTTTCCCACATCCCCTCCAACATTTGTCATTTTCCTTTTCTGTCCTATTAGCCAGTCTAATAGGTATGAGGTAGTATCTCAGAATTGTTTTAATTTGCATTTCTTCAATCAGTAATAAATTGGAGCATTTTTTCATATGGCTGTAGATAGCTTTGATTACTTCATCTGAAAACTATTCATATCTTTTGATCATTTATCAGTTGGGGAATGGCTCTTATTTTTTATAAATTTGACTCAGTTCTCTATGTGTTGGAGAAATGAGGCCTTTATCAGAGAAATTTGTTTCAAAAAATTTTTCACAGTTACTATTGCTAACTGTAATTCCCTCCGCCCTATTTTGCCCCCCTCCCATTTTTTCTATTCTCTCTCCTTTCACCCTATCCCTCCTTAAAAGTGTTTTGCTTCTGACTATCCCCTCCCCCAATCTGCCCTCCCTTCTATCACCCTTCTCCTCCTACTGTCCTGTAGGGTAAAATAGGTTTCTATACTCAATTGAATATGTATGTTATTCCCTCTTTGAGCCAATTCTGATGAGAGTAAGGTTCACTCACTCCCCCTCACCTCCCTCTTCTTCCCCTCCACTGTAAAAACTTTTTCTTGCCTCTTTTATGTGAGATAATTTACCCCATTCTACCTCTACCTTTCCTTTTCTCTAAGTATATTCCTCTCTCATTCCATAACTTTATTTTTTATGTCATTCCTTCATATTTAACTCATATGTGTGTCCTCTGTCTTTTTATACTCCTTCTAACTGCCCTAATAATGAGAAAGTTCTTATGAGTTACAAGTATCATTTTCCCATATAGAAATGTAAACAATTTAACCTTATTAAGTCCCTTATGATTTCCCTTTCCTGATTACTTTTTTATGCTTCTCTCAAGTCTTGTATTTGAAAGTCAAATTTTCTATTCAGCTCTGGTCTTTTCATCAAGAATGTTTGAAAGTCCTCTATCTCACTGAATGTCTGCTTTTCCCCCTGAAGGATTATATTCAGTTTTTCCTGGTTGTTGATTCTTGGTTGTAATCTTAGTTCCTTTGCCCTCCGGAATATTGCATATCCGAAGCCCTCCAAACCTTTAATGTAGAAGCTGCTGAATCTTGTGTTATCCTGACTGTGGCTCCACGATACTCAAATTGTTTCTTTCTGGCTGCTTGTAATGTTTTCTCCTTAACCTGGGAGCTCTGGAATTTGGCTATAATATTCCTTAGCATTTTCATTTTGGGATCTCTTTATGGAGGTGGTCAGTGGATTCTTTCAATTTCTATCTTACTCTCTGGTTACAGGATATCAAGGCAATTTTCCTTGATAATTTCTTGAAAGATGATGTCTAGGATCTTTTTTTGATCATGGCTTTCAGGTAGTCCAATAATTTTTAAATTATTTCTCCTGAATCTATTTTCCAGGTCAGTTGTTTTTCCAATGAGATATTTCACATTGCCTTCTATTTTTTTCATTCTTTTGGTTTTTGTTATATTGTTTCTTGATTTTTCATAAAGTCATTAGCTTCCATTTGCACAATTTAAATTTTAAGGAATTATTTTCTTCAGTGAACTTTTGTACCTCCTTTTCCTTTTGGCCAATTCTACTTTTTAAGGAGTTTTTTTTTCTTCAGTAAATTTTTGTGCCTCTTTTTCCATTTGGCCTAATCTGTTTTTTTAAGGTGTTATTTTCTTCAGAATTTCTTTGTGTCTCCTTTACCAAGCTGTTGACTCATTTTTCATGATTTTCTTACATCACTCTTATTTCTCTTCCCAATTTTTCATCTACCTTGATTTTCAAATTATTTTTGAGCTTTGTTTTCAAAATCCTTTGTAAGTTCTTCCATGACCTGAGACCAATTCACATTTTTTTTGGAGGCTTTGGATATAGGAGCTTTGACTTAGTTATCTTCTTCTGAGTATATGCTTTGATATTCCTTGTCACCATAGTAACTTTGCATGCTCAGAATTTTTTCCTGTTGTTTGCTCATTTTCCCAGCCTAGTTCTTGTCTTTTAACTCTTTGTTAAAGTGAGGCTCTGCTTCCTGTGTGGAGGGTGCACTGTTCCAAACTCCAGAGGTTTTGTGCAGCTATTTCCAAAGATTCTTCTAGGGATCTTTAAGTTTTCACTTCTTCCAAGGTGTTTTGTCTAAGGATAGGTGTTTACTCCTCTTATGGCCTGTTCTCTTGTCTGTGAGTCACCATAAACTCTCTTTTCTACCCTGGAAGTGTGTAGAACATCCCTGCTCCACTATGGGGGCAAGCTCTGCTGTGCTAGTACTCCTCCTCACCCTGGGACTGCCACCCAGGACTGTGACCCAGATCCGAGTATAAGCAAAGCAACAAAGTCCTGCCTCAGTGCTAGCAAAGAGACCCCTGTACCCTTATGGCCAGTTGTTCGACACCCTTACCATCTGTGGGCTGAGAACTCCAGAAGCAACTGTTGCCCCTGTTGATTTAGTGGCTCCCAAGGCCTGCTCCTGGTTTGCTGGGGCTGGGACTGTGTTGGCATAGCCTGCACTGTACTGTGCTCTACTCTCACCCAGGTGTGACAGACCTTTCTTGCCAGCCTTCTAAATTGTCTTTGGCTGGAAAATTATTTCACCCCATCCTTTTTGTGTGTTCTGCTGCTCCAGGAATTGTTTTATGGCATTATTTAAAGGTGTTCAGAGGGGTTTGGGGGAAAGCTCAGGTGAGTCGCTGCCTTTTCTCCACCATCTTGGCTCTGTCCAAAAGCATGGTACTAAAATGTTATTATTTCAGAATGCTTTTAAATGTATTATGTAAATCTATAGAAAGTATAATCATAATGTAAATATCTTCAGGCTATTTTAAAGCTATTTTAAACCACTAAACCAAATATAAATATGAAATATCTGATTGTAGATTTATCCAGTGTTTCCAAATGTAACTTTTCTAAACACAAATAAGTTATGTTGTATATTGCCTCCTATGTAACTAGTTGAAAAGTTACTGTAGTTAAGAAATAATGGGAGTGATATGTTCTACTATCCAACTTTGCAAGTACTATAAAAATAAGAGACATATGCATCAGCCATGCCAAGATAATTCTTTTAATAATGTTTTAAACCTAACATTTCTACTTGAGTGAATTAAAAGATACAATCAATTTCATACTTATAATTAAACTATATATTATTTTAATGGGTTTTTCCCTTTCTATAAATAGCTTACATTTTTTAAAAGGAAAGGTGAAAATGCCTGGCTATTTTAATAATCTAAGTTCAGAGTTTTCTGTATGTTACATTGTTGTTGAGGTTTTTTTTTAAGGTACAATTTAATACATCTTATTCCACCATGCTTACAAAGTGTCAAGATTAGAATACATCTAAGTAGCTGGCGTGCCCTCTGACAAAGCAGTAATTTCTTTCTTTTTATTGTTGCGGCTTTTTAAAGATATCTTAAGCTAGATATAGACCATCAACCTGTTGCTGGTTTTTAAAAAAAAGGAACTCCCCTCCCCCATATTTATAGCCCCTCCCAAGTCTGACTGAGTCCATTATTTAAAATCTGGATTTGGAAAATCCCTTTTGTAAAACACACAGTGTAACCCCTTCATAACTCTGAGACATAACTGGTCTTCTTGACACAGGCTAACCGTATTATATCAGACTTTCATTGTATGCAATTGCTATGTTAGGGGAGACCGAATCTGACCCAGGGTATGTCCCAAACCATGTAATAGTGAATCAAGCTATATTAGGTTTCTCCTGTCCTGGTTTTCTTGGGCAGTTCTTTAGTGTGTCTACACATACCGCTGAAAAAAATGTGTAGTTCTTTAAATTTATCTCTGTGATCTCACAGGCTAAAGATCCCCCCCACCTCCAGTCATATTCTTACTGCCAAAAGTCAAACTGGTTTCCTTGCTGTCTGGCTTGCTTCGTTATGGTTTGAAACTCCATCAGCAACCTGGAGAAATAGTGATAAAGCTGTGGGTTTTATTTTCATTGTTGATGTAAATGCCAACTTGCCCACACTCTGGATTCTTTCAGACCTGTCGTAGTTCCTTTTAGACTTGCTCCTATGTTGACTTCTATTTGTTGGATTTTACCTGTGTCCTCCTGTGACTTAACTGAGGAGGAGAGATTTATACAAAGCACAGTCATTATGAATCTTTTCTAGTCTATATTAATAGTAGCTTTACATTGCAAATCTTACTCAAGCTACTGTTCACTTTTTTAAAAAAAGCATTAGTTAAACTAACCATTCTTTGTTCTTAATTAACAAGTAAATCCTGTTTCTAATGCAGAGATTAACCATTCCCAGCAGTTGCCCCAGAAGCTTTGCTGAATTGCTGCATCAGTGTTGGGAAGCCGATTCAAAGGTATGTTAAAGAGTGAATGATTTTAAGTGTATTTCAGTTGAGATTTTACACTTGATAATGTAAATAGTACCCCTAACTCTTCACCAAGCAGGAAAGCTGAAGTGTTGCTCCTGTTGGAATCTAAGCTTCATAGTAGTCAAATTATTTGTTCATTCCAATGCACTACATTTTGACCTTTAGGAACTGTGGTTCTCTCTTTCTTAAAAATTTTATGTCAGAACTCTTGACTGCCAGTCAAGTGAAGCTAATAGCCTCTCTAACATTCTCTTGTCGAGGAAGCTAAGAGCCAGAGAGGTGAGAACTGGGACTGAAAACTGGTGGTATTGCCTTATTTATTTCAGTTGAGAAATCAAAGGTTTATTTTCTTTGCAACTTTCAGTATCAACGACTTAAGGATATGTCCATGAAATTAGTTAAGTGCCGAAGTCAACAACCTACTAAAAACATTGTAAATGAAGGATTGTCATTTTTAACAGAGTTGGCATGTTAAACCAGTAAACCTTTAAGCGATTGAGCTCCTGTACTGATGAAGATACTGGTTGTCAGGTTTTAGTGTTGCTATAAGAGTCAATGATCATACAAATAGCAGACCTTTAAAAGAATAGGCGCATTCCATACAATATTGCCCAGACAAACGTTTCACAAAAACATCTTCGATACATTGTAGCAATCCCCCCCTCAAGCCCACTAAAATGCCTTTATGTTTGTGGCATTTATAACATTGTTCCTATGAAACTTACTGCCCCCTGTAATGTTGTTTCATTTAACAGTATGTCTTCTCAGAATCAATGAAATCGTGTGGGGATATGCCTGATTACGATTTTTATTCCATATTAAGTCTCAGTGGTTTGAAAGCATGCTAGAATTTAATTTGAAGAATTCTAATCAGTCAGCCAACCAGAATTTATTAATCACGCTCTATCTATAGAGCGTGATTGTGCTAAGTACTGGGGACTCAAAAACAAGAAAGATAGTACTTAGGTCTTCCCTTTCTCAAAGAATTTTCTACTGTGGTCAGTCAGTTAATAAACATTTGTTAAAAACCTACTATGAACCAGACATTGTGCTAAGGGCTGGGAATGCAAAGAAAAGTAAAAGAGCTCACAGTCTAATGGGGGAAATGACATGCAAACAACTATGTACAAATAAGCTATATACAGAATAAATTGGAGATAATCAATACAAGAAAGGGACTAGAATTAAGGAGATCAGGAAAGTACTTCCAGTAGACAGTGGGATTTCATCTGAGACTTGAAGGAAACCAGAGAAGCAAAGAGGCAGAGATGAGGAGGGAAACCATACCAGGCATAGGGGACAAGCCAGAGAAAATGCCTAGAGCTGAGAGCAAAAATGTCCATTTAGCAAAAATGACTGACACCCTTGTACTGTTAGCTATTTATCTACTTTAACAGTAAATTTCAATTTTTGAGATAGTCTAGAGCATGTGTATTATATCAGGAAAAGTTACCACTTTCCCCACATGTATTTGTCTAATTTGACATTTTGACAGTAATTTTTAAATTTTTCCACAATAAGATTTTTTGATGCTTTTTTCAGGTTTTGTGATACCAAGAAATTTAATTTTTAAAAATTTCATCTCATTTTATATATGAATTTGTTTTGTACACCTTTGTAACTAGTCACTTTGTAAAAAAAATAGTCTGCAAAGTGAAATTTTTTGATTTCTTAAAGAAAATCCATTCAGTATTGTGTTGGATTGAAAATAGATTGAAAAGAAATAAAAAATTTTTTTGTGAAATCTGGCTTGTATAAAACTTGAGTGGACCTGTAATCTATATTATTCTATATTATTTTTATTTATGTATGTATCTATTTCATAGATATGTAGTTATATTATATATTATATGTGTATGTATATATATGTATATATAGTTATAGCTATTTTTTTTATCCTATCAAAGAGAGCTCATTTTAGGGTCATGTTCTGTATTTAGGTCAGTCTATATTTGGACCAATTGTGGTACGGATGTATGCACTAAGATTTTAATTTTAAAGCTTTATAGTGCATATATATGTATGTGTGTATGCATATATATATTTATTTACTTATTTATTCATGGAGCTGTAGCAGAGAATGGCTAAAACATAGTGATCTGAGGTATAAGGATCAAAGGATCATTTTTCATTTTCTACCCATATGACATTCAAAGCAAATTTTCAAAGCTTTTTGTTTGTTTCCTACCTCTCTGTCATTTTATTATGATAAAAAGGTAGGGGGGGCTATGCATTTATCATAAGTACCTTTGTAACAATCACACAGTTTGAATCCAACCCACTACTTTCTTACATAATTTTTTTGTAGCTAGTCTTTTCACTGTATCTTAAACTTGTCTTGGATTTTCTTGCCACTAAATCATTGTCTCTCTCCCCACCCACCATTTTATGCTTATCTGACTTTCTTCAGACCACAATTCGAGTCTCATCTCTTGTACTGGATCCATCTGAAACTCTTCTAGCTGCCCAGTTAGCGCTCTCTCACACACACACCCTCTCTCTCTCCTTCTCTCTCTCTCTCTCTCTCTCTCTCTCTTTCTCTCTTAAATACCCTACTTACTGTCTATATCATCCACTTGACCTATATTATATTTTACCTTGTAATGTTACTTATCTTTATAGATATGCCTACTTTACTGCTAAACATTTGCCAGCAGTGAATGTTATCTTATACTTTGTATTCTCCTGGGAGACAGTAGGTACTCAATAAACATTAAGTAGCCACACAAATCAGACTCCCTAAAATTCAGACTTGTACATTCACTGCCTCCTTCTGAAGCTGGAATGCAGTAACTACTCAACCAATGGACAATAGACTAGGTTGAATATTGTTTTCATATGTTTGTGTGATAGAAGTGTCAAACGCATAGCTGGCAGGCCATCTGTAGTCCACAACACTATTGAATGTGGCTAAACTCATTTACAATATAATTTCAATCTCATTTTAATGTTTTGATGTATTAATAAAAAGAAAAGAAACATAAACATTTATGGGTTTCTATGTCAATATGTGGTCCTCATGGATCTTTAGGTATATTTTCTATTTGTTTGACACCATTGTGCTAATGAGTGGTTTAAATAGAAAATCCCTTACTTATTTGTGCCTATTGTAGTAAAATATAGAGCCCATGTTTCAATAAATGTTCTACCACTAAGCATTTGTTCGTGCCTTTCTCCTCAAAATTATCTTGTATGGATTTTGTACACAACTGCATATATATATATCTGTTGTCTCCCTCAAGAGCATAGACTATTTGACTGACAGAGTACCTGGCACAGTACCTGCCAGGTACACAAAGTAAGTGCTTGATAAATACTTAATTGACTGATAAGTAGACATAAATGATAGTTGGTTTTAAGTAGGTGTCAAGTCATTCTAGGATTATGTCAGTACAAACTAAAATATAGCATTTTGATCCCAATTAACTAGAAACATGAATTTGAGAATAGATAAGAACCCATAAGTAAAGTCAAATTTTTAAAAAGAATAAATACCCAAACCTTTCCAGAAGAGTTTTTGAAGCAACTTAGACCCAAATCTGACCATGATACTAATATGTATGTGCTTAGTTTCATTGAGCCACATGTAGTAATCATTTGATCCTGAGATATAATCTCTTGAACAAATTCCAACTTTCCCATTGTGAATTTAGGAGTTTGAGGGTAAAAAACAAACAAACAAAAAAACAAGCAAAACCCTGCAATTCATCATGTTTCATGAAGTAGTTAAAGATAAAGTGCTTTTTATCTCAGAGTTCATGGGCTCCTGCTGGCTGTTTTTTTTTTACCTAAAATCAAAATCCACTGTTTCTGATATTATACTTATTTCCTGTATGAGTGACTGTAGCCTCACAAATACTACATTAAACCTGATAAACAGTAGGGAAATTAAGACAGTGCTAAAGATGAAGGAAGGAAAATAGTGTATATACTCCCTGGGCTTAGTTAGGTAATTCTTTCATTGTGTTCCATGTGCTCTCAGTCTCTGGCCTGCACACTTTTCATTGAGCTGCATCCATTGACTACTGCCAACTGTTGTCAAAATAACTCACTTGAAAGAGTGGGATGATGTCTGGACTCCGAATGTTTGTCTTAGTTTGGTTTCTTATTTCAGTGGGAAGCTAAGAAATTACCCATCTTCATAATGTAGGAAGCACTCAGTTCCCAAGAGAAAGAAAGGCACCTCAACACTGTTCCTACTTGTTTTTGTGCTCCCAAATTAAAATGCATGTTTTAATTGCTGCAACTGTAATTTGTTCAGAAATGGTATAATTATGAGGCGTGATAGAGAGAGAATGTGCATCATCCTTTTATTATCTCTCTCCATTTTTGTTTTAACCTTTTGTCTCAACCTTGGCTAGAGTCTATCAAATGGAGTAGTATAGTCACTGCTCTCTAAAGAAATACATTTCACTGCTGCATTTTCCATTTTCACTGAACAGTACCATTCTTTTTTTCTTATAGCTGTAAAAGAAGCTGTAATGTGGAGCAAAGTTGTGAACTTAGTATGATTTTGAAAGTAGTGGGTTTTTTTGTTTGTTTGTTTGGGTGGCTTAGGAATTCTCCCCCCCCACCCCCACCCCATACTAAGTTAAAACATTCCTAACTAAAGTCCTCCAATGTCTTGTCATGGAATGAAGGTGACCCAGGGTTCTTCATTACTGCCCCTTATGCCCTTTCTGAGTAATCCTATGGCTTAGTGCCAATCCCTTCCAATTACCTTGTATTTATTTTGTCTCTACTTTTGTATTTCCGGGTGTACATGTTGTCTACCCTAATAGAATGTAAGCTTCTTGAGGATAGGGACTAGGACATTTTTTTTTCTCTTATCTCAAATGCCTAACACAGAATTTGACACATAATAGTATACCTACTACTACTATAGTGAGCATGAACAAATAGTTATTAGGAAAATAAAAATTGTTCATTAAAAAAACCACAAATAATTAAAAGACTAGCCAACTAGGAAGGATTTGTTTCTTGTTTTAGCACCAGCTTAGCTCAATACTAAAAAAGCTCTTCACCAGAATGTTGGCTGTTAGGTGGAGTTGTTGTTGTTGTTTTTCCCAATCACAGCAACTTATACAGATTCTCAACTAAGTTGCAGGGTTGTAGTCTGTTTCAGCAAAAAGAGGACTTACACCGATAAAATACAGATCTTTGTGGTGCTAAAGTAAGTAAAATATAGAAACTAAGAGGAGGAGCAAGTTGTCATTCTAAGAGTATTCAATATTGCCTCCACAAGTCAACTGGGGCATAGATACTCTTTTTTTTTTTAATAAGAACATTCTTTATTGAGCCTCCAGAGGTTTCCTAGTTCAGAAAGAATAATTGAAGGAAAAGCAACTTGTGTTTCTTCTTGTGCATAGTGGATTAGCAGTTAAGAAACTAACTAACCCAAAAATTTGTCTTCCCTCTGCCAGTAAGGCTACTATAAGGACATCTTTGTTCTTCCTAATTGGTCTCCCCATTTCTAGTGTCTCTCCCTCACCAATTCATCCTCCATACAACTGCCAAAATAATCTTCCTAAAGCATAGGTCAGACCATGTCACACTCTTGCTCAAAAACTTGCAATGGCTCCTTCTTAACTAAGGATTCAATTCAAAAACTTCAACTTGAAGGATTGAAGCCCTTTAATAGCAAAGCCCCAAGTAGACTTTCTAACCTTATTTCATGTTATTCTCCTTCCTGCATTCTATGGTATGGTCTACCAAGTTTTGTTTGACTATTTTCCAAATTTGACATTGCATCTTCTGTCTCCATGCTAGCCATTCCTCATACCTGGCCACCCTCCCCCAATATATTTATCAGGATCATTTTCTTCCTTCAAGGCAAAGTTCAGGTACCACCTCCTCTTTCATGAGCATCCTAATGGTTATTGCTCTATTCTAAAAATTACTTCATGTTTACTTTCTTGTTACATGCTATATCCCTCCACTAGTAGAATGTAAGCTTTTTGAGACCATAGATTGTTTTGTATCTGTGCTTGCTTCCCGGTGCCTAGCACAGTTCTTCTACAAAGAAAGCATTGGTTGAGTTAGTTTATTCCCACCTTCTACAAGAAATCTTTCCTGACTCACCTTAATGCTGGCATCTTCCTTCTGAGATTATTTCCAGGTTATCCTGTATATGTCTTATTTGTACATAGTTGTTTGTATATTCCCTCATTAGACTGTGAGTTCCTTGAGAGCATTTTGTTTTTTTTTTTTTTGGCTTTCTTGGTAGCACCAGAGCTTAGTATAGTGCCTGGCACATACTAAGTGCTTAATACATGCTTATTGACTTGACTAGTCTTAAAATTTGTCTTGGGCGAATGAGCTATCAAGTAATACTGAGTTTCTCTCACTACTAAAGAAGCCATTATATAAAGACTCCATCTTTATGACAATGTCCTCAATGAGGTTTATTTGAATTTTTTATTAATTTCTTATAATCATCCCCCCCATGCGCTTGTTACTTTGGGAAGTCATCTTCTTAGATGCACTCGAGGCTATCTTCCAGAAGAAAATATCAGACTTGTAGCTCTAAAATTATCTCCCAGACATGTCTCGGAATTGAGGATCTGAAATTTTTTTTAGTGTAGATTATCTTGATACAAGACAAAAAGGGATAGACTCAAATCTATCAAAGAACCTGGGTTCAAATCCCAGCTCTGGAACTTATTACCAGTGTACACTAAGGCAATTCATTTCACCTTTCTCGACTTCAGTTCCATCTTCTCTAAATTTAGATGAGTTGAATTTAAAGGTCTTTAAGGGTCTAAATGCCACATATATGATTCCTTGATCTTTGTGTGGGAAGGATATAATTTTTCTCACTAAGTGGAACTTATTGTTATATTTATGTTTCCATTAACTCCAAACCAAAAGTATCTGTCCCTTGAATCCCTGCTGAATAAGTACTTATCCTATTTTTCAGAAACGTCCATCATTCAAGCAAATCATTTCAATTCTGGAGTCCATGTCAAATGACACTAACCTTCCTGACCAGTGTAACTCATTTCTGCATAATAAGGCAGAATGGAGGTAGGTATCTACATTTTGAAATTTTAAACCAGCCTAGTTTAAAATTATTTTAAAAATATGGGCATAAGGACTGGACCTGTGATTTAATTGGTATAGAGAACTCCTGTTCGAAAAAAACCCCTCTACCTCTGCAAATTAGGTCTTTCTTTGCAATATTTAGTCTTGGTGAGTTTCCTAGGGCACTAAGAGGTTGTGATTTGCTGAGGGTCACAGAGCCAATATGTGTCAGAGGCCAAATTGGAACCCCTTTCTTTCTGGCTCCAAGGTCAGCTTTTTATCTACTCCACATGTTGCCTCTCAGAAGATAGGAACTATTTAAAGAGCATGGGGAGTGTCAGAGCTGTGTACAGGCCAAGCAGCAGGATAGAGCTCCCCATTTCCAGTCTTAAGTACATTCTAGAAATGTGAATACTTCTGTGAAAAGTTTGACAGCCTACCTAATATGCTCTCCTGTTTATAGGTAGACAAAAAATAACATGAGTTTTCCAAAGAGTGTTCCGTGGGACTTGTTGCTTTGTAGTGTTTGGAAAAGAATACTGAAATCAGATCTTCTTTGGGAGAAGATTGTTACCAGACATTTCTCTGTGTACACTCTATATTAGGAAACTTTGGCTCTCATCCATTTAGAACACAGCTATAAAACTATTTCCCAGTCTTGAAACTAGCAAACCAGTGTACTGGTAGATGATGAGAAGAGAAGGGGCAAGGAATATTCTTTTTGAAATGAGATTTTAAACATTTACAAAGTTACTGAACTCTATGAATTTGGTAAAAAAAAAAAAAACAGACTTAATGATGGAATTACATCGTGTGAGTGGAAAAACTGAACACAGGATGAAGAATTTGAGCCAGGTCACATGATGCTCGAGTATAAATAGCATGTTTTAGAGCTGACATTATTCTCCAACTGACTCAGCAGAGATTCTAAGTAACTTCACCCCAGCTCCCTGGCACTAATCACTAAGGAGACACTTTGCGCCATCTGCTGATGACAAATTAAAACTACAAGCATTTAGAAAAAGACCCACCTATCTACTGTTGTTCCTGTATGTAATTAGTCATTCTCTTGAGGTTTTGTGTTTTTGTGGCTTTTACAGTGAACTCATTCATTTTCATTATTTTTAGTAAATGCCTCACTAGGACCAGGGAATTTAGGTAAAATGAATTAATTTAGAGATCCAAATGGGTCTTTTCCTAGGCTGAAGGCAGCAACAGGAATAAAAAATAAAAGCTCTGTTCATTTCCTACTAAATCAATTGGAAATAAAGAAGTAAAACATTTCCAAACTCTGGGATTTCTCCTTGAGGTCTAACAAATTTAAGGTTTGTAGCTAGTGATTTAGTACTTTATAGAAATGATGGGAATAGGAAGGGATCGCAAAAATTCAAATAAGTCTGTGAATATAATTAATTGATTTGGCATGATGAACACAAGTTATTATTGAAGGCTCTTCCCCTATCTAAACATTATCATGTGTCAGCCACTTACTTAATCATAGCACAGCCTAAACCTCTCATTTTACAACTGAGACCCAGAGAAATTTAGTGACTTGTCCAAAGCCATATAGGTTGTAGGTAACAGAGTAGAAAACGGGTCTTCTGGCTCTAAATATTCTTTCCATTATGTCACACTTCCACTAATGTTTTAGTGAAGTACTAGTCTAATGCTTTGTCATGACATGAAGGTAATCCAGGATTCTCCAAGGCTTTGTAAGCTCCAGACCAAGTGTTCTTAATTTGGGGGTGAAGGAAGAGGCTGAACCCCTTTGGCAGTCTGGTAAAGCCCATGTTCTTCCTCTCAAAATTATGTTTTTAAATACATAAAGTAGAATACAGAGTATTATAAAGGAAATAAATTATGTTGAAAAAACACTTATCAAAATATTTTTTAAATAAGTTCACATACCCCTGGTTAAGGACCACTGCTCTGGAAGGTTCTGTTAAGATGGAAAGACTTCAAGGAAAGTCTTCATAATGAGCCATGTAGCTATTGTCTGAGGACCAGTTTCACTAGTTTCAGAGAGTCTGATCACTAGAAAGTCACCTACTAGGGGATGATTTTATTTACTTACTTTTTTTTTCCTAAGGAAATCATAAAATTATTAAGTCATGGAATGATTATGATTTATGTTAATAGATGAAGTACATGCAAAATTACATGTAAGATCACAGGTCCTTCATAAAGTACTGAAGGAAGACTATATTATGTAGAAATAGTAGTATTATATAGTAGATGGAGTACTGGGCTTGGAGTTGGGAAGATGTAGGTTTAAATACAACCTCTAATATTTATTGTGTGACCCCAGGCCAGTCACTTAACCTCTACAGGCCTAAAGCAATTCCCTAGGGTTTGTGTACTAAAATTTTTGAGATTTAGGCGCTGGTGCCAAAAGTTTTCACCCTAGGAATGCATAGTATTTGAAATTTCTTCTTTTATCTGAGTATATTTGAGAAATAACATTGTTTCATAAAGGACCTGCCTAGGAAAAGCTTACAAATTTTGTCTTTCTAAATTAGCACAATTTATTCTACAAATTTTCTGAATTATTAAAATAATTCTCTAGTCAATAATTCACTTAAATCTTGTCACCTGTCTTCTGTGACATGAAGTACAAACAACTCAACCTTTTTTTTTTTGGTAGAAGAACACTGATATTGGAAAATACTGTGATTTTTTTTCAGTAGACATAATTGAATGTTGTCTTTGACCTTCAAAACATTTTTCAGTTTTAAATTAAAATACATACCACATGAGATAGATATGGAGTCTTATCATAGTCTTACAGACAACTAGGACAAAGATGAAAAATAGGAGGCCAAAGTCTCAAAAGAGACTTTCTAAGATAGGGGTCAACAACTTCTTTAGTCTTTAATGCCACTGAGGGCGAGGCAAGTAGTGCTCATGAGTTGTCGCATAAAAAGTAAGATAATAATACCTTACAGTGGTATAGATATGTGTAATGAAGTTTCATATCCATTATCTCATTTGAATCTGACTGCAAGTACATGAGGTAGTCAAGTGGATATCATCTCCATTTTACAGATGAGAAAATTGAGGCTTAGAGAAACAAAATGACTTGTCCAACTCTGAAGCTAGAACAGAGCTGGTATCAGAGCTCAGGTTTGCTGACTTCTAACCCAGGGTTCTTAGTTCTATGCCATACCTAAGTAGAAAAAGAGGAAAGAAGTTGAGGTTTTTGTTTTCTTTTGTTTTGAATTTTTAAAGAGAGAAAAGTTCAAAAGAAGGAGAGAGGAAAAAGTAGGAAAAAAGTAAAAAAGGAAATTAATATAATGAAAAGTGATGTGCTACTAACAGTTGTCTTATATGCCATTCAGTGGTACCATTTCTATAAGTTGCCAATCTTTGTTGTAAAAACTTGTGAGAAAAAAAAAAACTTGTATAAAGACCACACAGTAGTTTAATGGTATTTTATTAGCCTGGACATGTAGTTTGATATAAAATTAGTTAAAGTTGTATAGAAAACTGGGAATATGACTGGATAAGTTCACTCTGATGAATCAGACTAAAAGTTTAACTTATTAGTTAACTTTTAACAGTCAGGTGTTTCTTAATATAATCTGGCACTCAAGCCTGACATTTGCATAAGGCTTTCTTATTAGTGGAGAGATAGATTATTCTATGCTCTGTGCCTACCTGAGGCACGGAGCCAGCCAGAGTTTGGGAGAGGAAACATCCTGGTTTCTGACTTCTAGCTGTCAGAGAAGACACATTCCATTCCAGATTCTCTTCAACTCTCCACCTCTGGCAGGTATATAGCATTGAGTAATCTTTCCATCAATGAAGAGAGTCTTGTGAAAATGCTAGGCTTGAACCCCTGGTTACATTAACATCTTAATTTCCCAAAAAGACTAAGATGAAATATCCATTATTTGCCACATTTCAATTTTTTTATGTGTACAGATACCCAATTTTAGCCAGAGTCAAATTTCAGCAAGTGTTTTAGAAATTATGGAATGTTGACAGTTTTCTATACCTAACAAACTTCATAGTGTACATGAAGTGAAACTTTATTTTCAGAAATAAGCTAAATATATGGTTTGAATATGCCTACTGAGTCTTCTTGAAATTAAATTCTTTCCACTGCCTTTCTGGGTGGTAGAAAGGAAATTAAGTGTTTAAAACTTTTCATAAATATGTTAGGCCACAATATTTTCATCATGCTTCATCGTTTACTAGCAAATTAGCAATGATTGAGTTCATGATTACAAGTATTAGGGAACTAGAAAATGTCTTCTGGGTAATATTTTCCATTTTCATTAGAAGTTTTAGTTTCCTACAGTTGCCTAAATCCTTTCAGGCCAAAGACCTGTGGTAATTTGCATGACTGAGGTATGTGGACTGTGTGTGTGTGTGTATAAGAGAAATCAGATTTAGTATGTGTATTTTTTTCCATGCTTTCTGCAATTTATCGTTTGTTAGTGTTCTCCACTGATGATTACAATATCATGAGAACAAAACCCAAGATTAAAGACCACTCATTGATCCTTGGATTTTGTTCTGTATATGTAAAAATCATATATAGAACGTTGATCATTGTGACAGATTACAGTTATTCTTGAATTACACAATGCAATGGCTTAAAGACTAATTAGGGGAAACAAATATCAGCCATGTCTGACCCTTTTTAGATTCCTGTATTTGTGAATTTGTGCACTTATTTGACAATAAAGTTTTTCCTCTGATGATATTGATGATTTATTATGCCATACAACTTTATAAAAATACATAATGTGGCTGAGTTTTTTTTCTTTTGGAGACTGACCTTTTATTTTAAAAGAAGTTTCTGTCTAATGAAAAAGATAATTATAGTACAGTGCATGATTTTGACATGAAAAACTGCTGTTAGTAGGACTTTACCTTAGATGGATTTGGCTTAAGAGAAAACCATAATTTGCATAGATTAAAACACATAAAAACTACGTTTAGTAGCATTGAGGTTGAGCCAGGGAGGGTATCAACAAAGCAAGGGGGACCACTGT